TAGATTTATACGAAACAAGTTTAGCGAACTCCGCTGCTCATTTGTGGAACCAACTTCCAATAGACCTGAAAAACTCTCAGAGTCCCCATTCATTGAATGGTAAACTTGTTCAGTTGATACTTACAAGCGATTATATGCATGCTTGTATGAATGTATAACATCGCTGTTAGCATTGCACGCCACCAAGAGCCATGATAAGGACTCCTACAGTGTTGATGCAATCAAAAGGGGACAGACCCAATTACTGTCTTGGCCGGCGACGAAGTCATCTACCGGCGAGCCAATGGGCAACCCGGTTACCGATAATGACGTTTGTATGTGCCTGGGTATGCCAATAAATGGTGTCTTTTTGAGTGAAACATGTGGACTAATGGATATTTACCAAAACTTTGTACGGTTTGACAGTCTAAATTAGCCTTTCCTTCTATCTTCCACCTCGCCATTTCCCCCCGGAAAAAGTAACGAACTCGGGCCCAGACCCACTAACTGAGCTTTCATAGACGCTTGCTCAGGCTGGTATATGTTAGAAGGGTGTCCCGGTGTACCGATGTCTTGACAAAGCTTTCTGCGTTCCGTGTTAGTCGTTGTTCTGTGAGCAGCGGCCGCTGACATTGTGTTCTCACTCGTAATCATAATTAGTGTTTGTTGGTGCGAATGATACCCGTCTAGGATTTTAAGTAGAAGATGCGTTTTTTTCAGCTGTCAGTATTAGCCGGGGGGAGGAGGTGTTGGGGGGGGGGGGTACCTTTACGTTTTTGGAGCATTACGGCGTTTTGGGGCCACTGCAAAATGTTAAAAAGTATTTTTTTTTAAACGGGGTTTAGAATGCACTTCTCTTGGGACTTAAGCTCAGTGTGTGGGGTTCAGGGGGAGGGGTAGTTGAAGTTAGGTCCAGTTGTACATGCTATGGAGGCGTTAAAACCACTCACATCCTGTAATATAGACCGTCGACACAATACAACCTCGCACCAACCTGTCACTCCTGCCACTTAGACTTATGTTTCTGAGAGGTTAGGACCCACGAATAAACGTCCAATCTTAATGTCCTGGACCCGACTTCGTTACTCAGCACAGTGAGCTGGGCCGAGTATGTTTTTTTTTACCTTTTTCCTTCCACACTGGACCTGGCTCGTCGTTTTTGTTTTTTGTTTTCAAACAATTCTTCAATGTTTACTTATGCTTCGTGTCATGTCCTGTTATCTTATGTTTTAGACTTTTTGTGCGTGAGACCGATCAGCGGTTAACGGAAATCATGCCTGAGCATATGCAAATGAGAATATACATAAACATGTCACAGAAAGCGGCAAGCTACCAGAACAGGCGGTTCTCTCCACGCCTGACATATCAGCGCACAACAAGCATTCAGTTTGTGTTGTCGAAGTGCTCTTTATCTGTTCTTCTTCATCGGTTTGCCCGTGAATAAATGATGGTGGCGATTGTCCGGTCATGATTGTCTCTGAAGTGGGTGAGACATCTGTATGATGTCTGATCGATCATCAGATTAGATAGCATACAGTATTTGAGTCTGTGCATTGAGATTCGTTTAACGAGAACCTGTTATGCAGTGTTTCCCAAACTTTTCTTGGTCGCGGCGCCTTTTTTTTTTTTTTATATAACAATTTTTCCATGGCGCCCTAACCTAAGTAAAAGTATGACTGTTCGTGTCCTTTATGCACGAGAAGTTTTTCCGATGTCTAGCCAAAAACACGGAGCATTTCTTTCAGTTCTTCTTCTTCACAGATGTTTAGATCTGTCTTCTTTTTTTCCTATTGACATTACTTCTGTCTTTTCAGTGTTGATTCTCATATTATTTGTTTTACATTTTCATTCATGGATGTTAGATGTTGTTGCAATTTCATGGCTGTATCTGCTGTCTTTCAGTAAATTTGGTTAACACTTTTTTTTAATTCTTTGACACATTTCTGTTATTCTGACACCCATGAAATAATATATTTATTTGAAGGATATAGATTGAAGTTCATGATTTTCACAATATCGTTAAAATTAATTGATGCATATGCAAATTACTCATTTGCATATCTAAAAATGGAAAATTAGAATGTGCATTTTCAACTTCAATGCATGAAACACATAACTAAAAACAAAAATATATTTTATTTGAAATCTTTTTATTGATCTTTGGCCTTTTTACAAATGTTGTAAGTAATTAAATAGTCAAATACAGGTATATATATATATATATATATATATATATATATATATATATATATATATATATATATATATATATATATATATATATATATATATATGTGTGTGTGTGTGTGTGTGTGTGTGTGTGTGTGTGTGTGTGTGTGTGTGTGTGTGTGTGAAACAGCAATAATGTCTTTAGGTGACATGTGTTTTTGACTAGCTAGCACAAGAAATGGATGTGCTGGAGTGTCAACATCTTTAGGTGGATATACCCTGAGCCATGGTTGGGCTGTTGTCTGATCAGCGTCTCCATCTGATTCCCCACTATTACTACTAACACTTATTACACTAGATCCTGCATCAGTATCAATAGAATTAGTGTCATCACTTGATTCAAACGTTTCATCAACATCAAGTTTAGGGGCAGAAGCATACGAGTCAGACAGACTTTTAGCGGTTCAGGTCACTAACTAAAAAATTCAACAACAATTTTCACTTTGATACCAAACACTAGAAAGTCACCATGTGTAAAGCTAATACAGCAGTGAATATTAAAGAATCATTTTCAGTGTTTCGAAATAGGAGATTTGTTTCGGTGTCGAGGCGAAACACGATCGGACCGATGATCGGCCATTCCGTGTTTTCGGCCAGACTACCGACGGCCGATAATCGGCCCGTCCGTGCTAAGAGGGGTTAATTATGAAGCTTTTACAATATTTCGCGGTGCCCCTGTTTGGGAATCACCGCTGTAATTTATGGCGTGTCAGTGTTTCTGTTGTTGTTGGTGGTGTTGTTGCTGCTGCTGTTGAATTTATGAATTAAGATGACCTTGTCATATGGACGGGAGCTACCGTGGTGTAGCGGCTAGAAGATCGCCTGCGGATCCCAAGATCGTGGGTTCGAGTCCTGTCGAAGGCCCCCCCCCAAGTGACTTTGGCTCCCAGGTCGACCCTAGCCTTAAATGGGTACTAGGTAAAGGTCTGGGAAGTAAAGGCAGTCGGCAATATGTTGAGCGCTGACTGGTCTATAAAATAATAGCTCTATTCTTACCTTTCTGACCAGTACACCTGAAGACGGGGAAGAAGGTCCTTGCTTTGAGTTTTGATGTTGTGACGTTTTCTATGTCTTGAATGGCTATAATGCGCGCGCACACACGCACACATACAACAGCAAAGCATATATTTCATCGCCTAATGTGTGTTCAGAATACGGCGTTGGGCCTACATTCGTTTAAACCAATGGACGCCCGGCTCGCTAGCGCAGTTGAATAAACCGGACTGCGCGGCGACCGGGTGACAAACTTCTTGTGGTCCAGGTTCACGCCCAGGGGTAGGCAGAAAAGCCACATTTCTCCCAGATTTACGGTATCTATCATAGAATCAAGGCCGAAGGGTTGTGATATCCATAGGACCGAGTCAAAGGGTTAACAACTCATGGTTTCTGGATACTTAAAAAAAAAATGGACAATCAATGGGTGTCAGTCTCATGCCGGCGGTTTTTACTTTCCAGAACGTTACCTGAAGCCCACATCAAACTTGGTCTTCACGCGTGAGTTGTTGGGCCCATTGTCGAGGGGGGGGGGGTGGCTAGACCTACTGACCACTAACAAGCATGTCGTAAGACTCGACTAATTAAAATAGTTTCCTTTGAAATCACAGTGCATCTACCTGAGAGGCGAGGAACACACCGCCAGCATTCAAATAAGCCACATCTGTAAAACGGATTTGCGCGCAAAACTCAACTTGTAGAACAAGAACAAAGTCATGAAGTCGATGAACAACCATACATTTCCGCCAGAGTTAAACGTGGTACTCTAACAAGTTATTAAAAAAATTATTCGAACCGTGCTTAAGATCAATTTTACAAAAACCGTAGCTTTGGGGTGAACCCCAACATTTGGCCACCGGGCACACAAGAATTCTCAAAGGAGTTCATTAACTAGATCTTTTTCTGTTCTCTGCTCCTTGAATACCTCGCGGCGTCAGGACAGCAAGAGATCTCTGGAACGGGCCCTTTTGTTCGCTTTGTATAAAGTACTTTTCATTGTCTCTGATATTTCTGCGATCCATTTCTGCGTTGTCGACCTCTGGCTCTGTTACCACTGTATCTGTATGACACTGTTCTTTGTGGTGCCCTGCCTGCTGCTAGTCTTGTTACGTGGCCAAACCATTTTATTTGTTGAACATTTCGGCTTAAATTTTTTTCTCCTGTCTTCCGAAGACAGTGTCCATATTTGACATTGATAGCATAGCGCTGATAGTAAGAATATTGTCTTGAACCGTGTTTTCTTAGTGTTCATGATTGAAGTGATATATGCTGGTTTATGGTTTTGTACTATGTGGTGCACCGGCACCACGACCCGTACCAGGCAGGATCTATCTACACCTCTCCCGCCCTCCTAGAAACAGGTTTCCATACTGGAGGGCTGGCTAACGTATTTATGATTGATGATCCTTTCGAACTCACAGTATATCTGCTCTAGAGGCCTGCACACAAGGAATCCAGATCTGTAAATGGATGTGCGTTCAACGATCGAGTTCCTGTACCTTGCCAGCGTTTAGAAATAGACGAATAACCAGGCTTTTTCGTCTGAGTTTGCAGCTGGTGAACGTGAAGAAGAAGAAGAAGAACAAGAAGAACAAGAACAAGAACAAGAAGAACAAGAACAAGAAGAAATTCAATGCTTTTTTTTTTTGTATTTGTTCAACTACTGACAGTTGCATTAGTTACACGATATGTGGTTCTTTGTACTATTACTAACAAGTTGTAACTGTTATTTTAAAGTTATGATTGCTGGGCTGTGAAAAGTTGCCTTTATCACTTTTTATGCTGTGATTTCTCTTTAGGTTGTGTACCCCAAGTCTGACGATCAGCGGAAACGGTTGAACGACGCTGTCAAAAACATTCTGCTGTTCCGGTCCCTTGACCAGGAGCAACTGCAGGAAGTTCTCGACGCCATGTTTGAGAAAGAGGTATGTACTTTTCAATGTCTGATATTTACGCGGTCCTTATTCTGCGTAGTCGACTGCTCGCTCTGTTCCCGAAACAGATTGATTAAGCTGTATATATCGCATACACACTAACGGGGTGTCTCTTGTACATCCCAGAATTACCCACATGTCTTCTGTGTGAATGCTTTCAAGTTTAATCAGTGGACTCTTTGATATGGTAAGCATTCCAAGTCCATAATCTGTCGCCGATAGGAACACATGCTGTAACATTTTAAACACCATTATTTATTTGATGTACAGTAAAATGCTGCGTGTTGCTGGTCGGTCACTAAGCGTGAAACCCCCCAATATAGCACAAGCTATTATTTCTGGGGCCCGAAAACGGGAGATGTGCCCAGGCTTCTAGCAGAAAACGATACCCAGGTAGCTTGGTTTGCTTTCTCATTTGATGTTTCTGTCATTAAGTGTGTGCCGTTTTAAAACTTCCGATTGTGTTGCATGCCAAAATTGCTTTTAACTGTGTATCCCTGTTGGGTATCTTGTACCTGTGTATCCCTGTTGTGTATCTTGTATCTCTGTATCCCTGTTGGGTATCTGTTCATGCTGGGTATCTTCAGTAGGTACTAAAGTGGTGTAGGCTAACATGCTAGCATCTTGACTCGCCTAGGACGGCAGTTTGTACTTTACTGATGTAACTGTTAGGTGAAGGGGATCTGGCGTCTTGCTCTGCTGTCCAGATGGAGATTTTTTTTTAAGGATATCCGGTCCAACTACACAGTGGTTGACCTTTCATTCATGCTTTCTCAGGCTAGTCCACGTTGCAGGGCTGTGGGGGGTGGGGGGCAAGTAAGTCTGTTCTTGGTTTCCTCACATTGGGGCCTGGAACCCACACTGGGAAGTTTACGCATTTAATGCGTGTGCATGCTACTGGCTTTACCGAGACTGCAGTCTGCAATGACTGTGTCATTGCTATCCACAGAAAGGACAGCGGTAGGCTCTCTGGTGGTGCTGTTGTTGCACTCCTATAGTCCTTGATGGTTGGGTACAGGCGGCAGAAACTACACGACCTTTGGGTCTTACCTGGTTGCCTAGTCCTCTTGTTAACTGTGTGAATTGAGCTCTACTGTTGGCCGATCCTGCTAAGATAACCAGAATCTCACTCTCTCTCGTCCGCCCTCTCTGCCTCTCATTGTTTCTGTCCTTAGTTCCACCAGTCCTCTATTCGTTTATCCATCAGCTGGGATTAAACCCATGCCCCACTTCCCACTTACTGATCCGTCTGTCGACTTACCGCTTTAGCCATTTATGTGCCTGTCTGCCTGCCTGTCATCTTCTATCTCTCCCTCTGCTTGTCTATAAACTAGTATCTGTCTGTTTGCCTGTCTGTCAGCTTCCATCTGTCTGTTGGCTGTCTGTCTGCTTGTCTGTCTTCTGGCTGTCTGCCTCCTGTCTGTCTGTCAGCTTCTATATGTCTGTCTGCCTGTCTGTCAGCTTCTAGCTGGCTGTCTGTCTGCTTGTCTGTCAGCTTGTCTGACTACTGGCTGTCTGCCTGCCTGTCTGTCAGCTTCTGTATGTCTGCTGGCTGTCTGCCTCCTGTCTGTCTGTCTGTCAGCTTCTATATGTCTGTCTGCCTGTCTGTCAGCTTCTAGCTGGCTGTCTGTCTGCTTGTCTGTCAGCTTGTCTGACTACTGGCTGTCTGTCTGCTTGTCTGTCAGCTTGTCTGACTACTGGCTGTCTGCCTGCCTGTCTGTCAGCTTCTGTATGTCAGCTGGCTGTCTGCCTGCCTGGCTGTCTGCCTGCCTGGCTGTCTGCTTGCCTGTCTGTCAGCTTCTATCTGTCTGCCTGCCTGTCTGTCAGCTTCTATCTGTTTGCTGGCTGGCTGTCTGCTTGCCTGTCTGTCTGTCAGCTTCTGTATGTCTGCTGGCTGTCTGCCTGCCCGACTGTCTGCTTGCCTGTCTGTCAGCTTCTATCTGTCTGCCTGCATGTCTGTCAGCTTCTATCTGTTTGCTGGCTGTCTGTCTGCTTGCCTGTCTGCCTGCTCTTTCATTCTCTCTCTCTCTTGCTGTCTCTCTCCCTCTCTTGCTCTCTCTCTCCCTCATTGTCATCTCCCCTGCCTCCGTTTTGTCCACGTAAGTGGCCACATCTGAGAACCGCATATCATGCAGCTTACCTGGCCAGCGTTTACAGATAATACATGTGGCACTTTGCCTGCAATCTCTGCAATTCCCTCACGCTGCCGTGGCTCAGTTTTGCTCCAGTCTTTGACAGGAATTGATTCATGGGCCCTGCTAGCTCTGTAATTATGTTTGAGCAAATAATAGTTGAGTGTAAAGATTGCCGGGGTTGATAATCATAACGGCTGGAAGTAAAATGGTTTCTTTACTCGCCGATCTTTAGGTTTGAGAAGATGGAGCATTGGCACATTTTACCAGCTCCGAGTAGTATCGATTCATGTGACATATCGACTCCGCGTGTCCGCGATAATTGCCGGGAAAGATAAAGGCTTGAGGAAATACCGATACATAATTATTATATGTTTTTTTTTCTACCAGGGGGGTATTCTATTATTAGTCATTGGTGTATCTGTTAATCCGTGCCGTGTATTTGCCTGTCTCTTCTGTGTATCTGTCTGTCCATGCCATATATTTGTCTATCTCTTTTGTGTAACTGTCTATCCGTGCCGTGTATTTGTTTGTCTTTTCTGTGTGTTAGTCTATCGGTGCCGCCTTTCTGTCTATCCTTGCCGTGTATTTGTCTATCTCTCTTTTGTGTATCTGTGCCGTATTTCTGTCTATCCCTGCAGCGTACCTGTCTATACATACAGCTTATGTATCTATTCATGCAGCGTATCTGTCTATCCGTGTCGTATTTCTGTCTATCCGTGTCGTATTTCTGTCTACCCAAACCATATATCACTCTCTCCATGCAGATATCTGTCTATCCACACAGCTTCTGTGTCTATCCCTGACACAGTCATTGCTGACTGCAGTCTCGGTAAAGTCAATAGCATGCACATGCATTAAATGCATAAAGCAGACGCCAGAACGACCAAAGCAAACAGTCGGGTATTGTGGGGGAAAAAATAAACAGAAAAAGTCAAAAAATACAAGAGGCAAAAGAAGTTCTCATAGCACTAGGGAATCTGTGGAGATGGCAGGAACTAAACACTAGTACTGCTTATTATATGGCAAACTACTGGTCGCAAATTTGCCTAGAAAAACCACACAACAGCCTGGGACCTAACCTAACTGCTTATTATGCTTCACTCTATGTCAAATCAGTACCGCCGTTATGGAGTTGAAACATGGATGACAGCTAGAACATGTTCTGTAAAATACAAATATTTAACGGATACCTCCTCAGAATTGAGGGTGGTAATTGGCGTGATCTTCTTTAGAAGTCGGAGTAAATCCGCCTGAAGAGGCAGGGAACAAGAACTGCACACGAATAAGCCAGTAAAACGGATGTACACGCAACACTGAGGTCCTCGTTAGTCAAAATAGACTAACAACTAGGACTATCTGTCGGTGTTCGCAGCCGGTGAACGCAAAGAAGAAAATTGGTATGATATAATCAGTAATGTAGAAACCAGGGAGGGGAGGGAGTGTGGAAGAGGGGAAGAGGTATGGAAGGGGAGGGAATGGGGGTTGGGGGGGGGGGGGACTAAACAGATTCCAGTGAAATCAAGAGGTGACGAAAATACACTGGCTCCGAATAGGACACACGTTGAGAAAACTTTATGTTTGTATAACTTGAATGTTGCGGTGACGTCAGATCCGAGGGAGACGTTGGCAGCACAGCAAGGTTTGTCTTCTCTCAAGAGAGACAGGGAGAAAGAAAGAAAGAGAGAGAGAGAGAGAGAGAGAGAGAGAGAGAGAGAGAGAGAGAGAGAGAGAGACATGCAGCGTTATAAGAGAGATAGATGAATGCACAGATGTGAATTTGTAGGCAGACTGTTGGTGTCTCGCCTCTCAAGCAGATGCACTCCGACATCAAAGGATGCCCTCAGTTAGTCGACTCCTACGACATGGCTTGAAGGCCAGCCCGTGGGTCTGCGCTTGTTTTACCCACAATAAGGTCCCACGCGGGGAGGTACTCATTTAAGGATTGATCGACCTAGACCTGAGAACCAAGATCGTGTAGTTAAAAAAAAACCTGGCTCCGTGCGGATTTGAACCCACGACCTTCGGATCCGCAGCCAGGACTCTAGCTGCTACACCACGGCGGCTCCAAGAGACCCAAGTGCGTTTTGTTATTGGCAGTTTCTGAACCGTCAGAGAACAGCAGGTCGAGTTGATATTAAAGTATCCACAAAACAAGCAGGTGCTGGTTGTGTTGAACTGTTCCTACTGACATACGTCTAGATCAGCGGTTCTCAACCTGTGGGTCGCGACCCTTTTTGTGTTGGTCAAACGACCCTTCAAAAGGGTCGGCAACGACCATCGGAAAACACATATGTAGTGAAGTTGTGAAGGAGCAACGGAAATAACTGCATGGTTAGGGGGTCGCTACAACATGAGGAACTGTATGAAAGGGTCGCTGCATTAGGAAGGTTGAAAACCACTGGTCTAAATCATTGTCAGTAGGCGCCATGCATGCAGCGCTCTTCTGGCTGCAGACACCTTGCACTAACAGACAGGACTGTAGATGTTGTGCATGCACCCAACAGCCTGTATAATACACTTTATAGACACGACGTTCTGGCTGCAGTCTCCTTGCACTAACAGACAGGTCTGTAAATGTTATGCATGCATCCAACAGCCTGTATAATATACTTTATAGACTAGGCGTTATGGCTTTCTAGAACACACACAGGCCGTGCACTGCTAGACCCGGACTATGAGGACAGTGTTTGACACAATTGTTTCCAACTTTTTTTTTTAAAAACTGTCCCCACCGCTCCCTTGCCACCTGAGTATATACAAATGCCTTCTAAGGCCCTCCTCCGTTGAGTATATGGCCAGACCCTCTACGCCTACACTCCACCCTCATTGCATGGCAAGACCCCCCCCCTCCCCCCCAAATCGTTGCAGAATGTGATTAAAAAGGAGACACCCCCCCCCCCCCTTTTCCAAAAAAAATAAATAATCTTAAGTACTGTTAACAAGAACTTGCGTGAAAACACGCACAAAATTCAGTGTCAAATAAAAGGAAACAATCACCAACAACTGCTAATTTGGTGTCTAAACATCAATGTGATGGCTGAAACTGTTTAGTCTTGATGGTGTCTGCTATTTTCGATCTGATGGTGGATGTAGATCACTATCCACATCAAGCTGGCAGCGCTGTTTTGTTTTCGTGACTGTTAATGCTGTACATCCTGATTATAACAAGTACAGATTAAGTCAATTTTAAAACTGCTTGACGTCCCGGTTGACACTTTTTCTTCACCCCCCCCCCCCCCTCACCACTCCACCCCTTCCATGTTTAAGAAAATTGATTTTAACAGACACAACCACTGCCAGGGTTCTTGTTCTTCTTCTTCTTCTTCTTCTTCTTCTTCTTCTTCTTCTTCTTCTTCTTCTTCTTCTTCTTCTTCTTCTTCTTCTTCTTCTTCTTCTTCTTCTTCTTCTTCTTCTTCTTCTTCTTCTTCTTCTTCTTCTTCTTCTTCTTCTTCTTCTTCTTCTTCTTCTTCTCCTCCTCCTCCTCTTCCTCCTCTTCCCCCTACTCCTATTGAGACTGTTATGTCTGATAATAAACTATCTTTGTGCTCCCCCGCGATACAGGTGACACCCGGACAGGAGGTTATCACACAGGGAGATGACGGCGACAACTTTTACGTCATTGACAAGTGAGTTTTTGTGTCTGTGATTATCTGCTCTCTTCAACCCCGCTCCCCCTTTTCTCTCTTTCTCACTCTCTCTGTTTACTCTCTCTTTTATCATCTGTCTCATCCATTGTTTCTTTTTTATGTCTGTCTGTCTGTCTGACTCTCTCTCTCTCTCTCTCTCTCTCTCTCTCTCTCTCTCTCTCTCTCTCTCCCTCTCTCTCTCTCTCTCTCTCTCTCTCTCTCTCTCTTGAATGTAATGTAACCCATATTGCATTATCAATTTATTATTAAATAAGGTGTGTATGATATGTATGTTTGCGCGCGCGCGTGTGCTTGATATGTATGTATGTGCAGGCGTGTTTGTATACATATGACTCTGAATATGTTGTTTGTCTGCTTGTGTATCTGCGTGTGTGTCTGCGAATGTATGCGTCTGTGTCCTTGTGTTTGTGCGAATGTGTGTGTGTTCGCGCGTATGTCCACGTGTATGTTTCAGTGTGAACTGGTTTCTTTTTCTGCATATTTGATGTGACTGTGTGTATATCTTCGTTTGTGTCTGTGTGTGTCCCCGTATGTGTTTGTCTTCATGTTTGCCTGTGTATGTTTATAAGTTTTGTCTGCGGGTGTGTCTATGAGGCTGTATGTATGTATCTCTGTGTGTGGGTGTCTGTATGTATGTCTGCGTGACTGTATGTGTCAGCATGTGTCTGTCTGTCTGTGCATTTCTATGTGTGTTTCTCTGTGTGTGTTGTGTGTTCCCCTTTTGTTGTCTGTATGTGTCTGCATGTCAGAGTATATGTCTGTGCGTGCTGAATATATGTGTCTGCGTGTGTATTTCTATGTGTTTGTATGTGTATGCATTTCTGCGTGTTTGTCTCTGTGGGTGTCAGTATGTGTTTGTCTGCCTGTTTGTCTGTATTTGTGTGTGTGTGTGTGTGTGTTTGACTATGTGGCTGTATGTATGTGTCTGCATGTTTGTCTGCGTATGTGTGGTGTGTGTGAATGTAAATATATGTGCTGTGTGTTTTCCTGTGTGTGTTTATATGTAAGTGTCTGTGTGTGTGTCTGTATTTTTGTCTGAGTGTTTGTGTCTCTGTGGGAGTGTCCGTGTGTGCATGTGTGTGTCTCCATGCATGACTGGATTTATGACTGTATGTGTGTATGCCTGTATTACGTATGTATGTATGAATGTATGTATGTATGACTGTATGTTTGTATCTATGTATGTATGTTTGTGTGTACGTATGCCTGTGTGTATGTGTGTATGCATGTTTGTTTATATGTATCTGTGTATGTATGTATGTAATGTATGCATGCATGTTTGTGTCTGTGTATGCGGGTGTATGTATGCACGCGCGGGTTTTTGCATGCACTTTACAACTCATGCTTTTGTGTTCTTTTATAATATTCATAATATGCATAACATCATATGATCATAACATGCTTTATTAGTAAAATACAACTGCTGTGCGAAAGATGGTTGACTGGAAGGGCCGAATGTAAGACGGGCCTGCGTGCCCAATTTGTGACCCTTTGAAAATAAAGTTCGTTCGTTCGTTCGTTCGTTCGTTCGTTCGTTCTCTCTGTCTTCCCTCGCTCTTTCCGCCTTCCGTAGCTGTACCCCAATCCTGCCCGTAATACAAAATGCTGCCTCTGAATTCGTTTTAAAATCAAAACGTGCATCATCTTAAAGTTGTTTCAAAATTCTTGGTTTTAAAAGCAGTGGCAAATACATTAATTATAATTATTCAAAACAAAATAGTTCTAGTTCTGTGCATGGTATATGAAATCACTATCGTGTGCTATGTCAAATAGGAAGCCATCTCACCTAAAAAAAAGTGTTCTGATACCCAGTTTATAAGGACGGGATTTGATTTCCAGATCTGCCTGTGTGGTTTCTGCGGCCCCATTGTGAGGGAAAACAAGAATAATCATACTGCCTGCCTTGCAAGTATGTCGTAAGAGTTTCGAAGTCGGAGTACTTCTGCCTGAGAGGCGAAGAATAAAAAGTGTGTCTACAGATAATCCTATCTGTAAAACGGGGGTGCCCGCAAAACACAAATATTGGAACAAGGCCAGAGTCCAGAGGAAGACGAACAATCAGAACTCTTCGCTGAAGATCCCGGCCGGTGAAAACAATAAAGAATAACTCAGGTCATCTGGAGAAAGTCAGCTGTTGTAACGCCCCGAAGGAGACGCTGGTCGTGTCGGTGTTGGCCAGAATCCTGGTGGGGAACGATTTCTGTGATGATCGCGAAGAGGTGCAGGTAGGTCTGGACCACCGTGAACCCTGGTCCCTGATGCACCAGAAATTCCAGGTTTCAGCACCTCTGCTGCCCATCCCTTCGTTGTCGAGCTGTGTGCAGCATTGGTGCTTTATTAATATTCTACTCCAAACAGGGAAAATCCACAGATCACGGGTCAGTCTAAATTAATTTCAGGGGGTAGTAGATAGGCTGCATGCAGTCGTGGGACGTAGGTGGGTTGGGGTTAGGACCCGTTCTAGATGTTTGGGGTCGTAAAAAGCATCAGAAAGCCGGGAAACCCAGTCTTACCACCCTCTAAAATGTTGGACTGTCCTGTGACGTCATCTGGGGTAAAGAACCGAAGCATTTATGTCAGATGACCGAGGAAGTATGATCTTCTTCCGTTCCCAGAAACACAAGGGGAAACACAGAGACGCAGGTGCCTATCATATATTGTATATGGTAACGCCTTCTTGATCCGTACAGGATTCCATTCATTATCTTTCCTACTTGCTTGTGTCTCCTGCTTCCATAGACCACATAGGATGATTCTCATCATTCTGCACCATTTGCGGAGCACCGGCCTTGTTCCGAACATGTGCACAGCAAAACTACGCCTGCTGTATGTATATGTGTGTGGGCAGCCAGGAAGCTGAGAAAACTATAATGACAATAGGAAATGAGTTTCTGAAGGAAATACAAATGCTAGCCTTTACGGGCAGAATACCAGCCAAGGCAGTCTTTTCACAAACATATCTTCTTCATTAGTGCTTTGCCAGCTGGCGTAGGCGTTCATGAACCTTCACATATATTTTTTCTGTCGCTGTCTTAAGCCACCCACCATCGTTTCTCTTGGTCTGCATCTGCTTCTTCTACTAGTGATCTTTCCAGTCGTCACGATATTTACCAGTGTCCCTTTTCTCATCACATGACCAAAGAACTTTGTCTCCTTCTCATTGTTCTACATAATGTTCTACTTTCAGTAGTCATTTCCAGACAATCATTGTTAGTTGTTATGGCAGTCCAAGGTATCGGCAACATTCTTGTCAAGACCCACATCTCACTTGCCTCCAAACCCTTTGTTTGTTTGCTCACATTCCAAGATTCACTTCCATACAACAGAACAGGCTCGATATAACATTTCAGTACTCGTTGTCTGATGTTTAAACAAACAGATACAAATCGTAAATTTATTTACACATCGAAAAATCACAACGTTAGGGTCGTATGAGATGACATAAACACAGCGTGCGGCGAAAGCTGGCAGGTCTGTTGAAAAAATAATCAGAGAAAGTCACCAGAAGAAATACACAAGATTGCTTGGCCCAGTAGCTTATTGCGGACAGTAACATAAAACATTCTACTTCTTCCTATGAGTGCCCATCAATACACTTTCTGTTACTTGATTAATTCATAAAACATTGGCGACTCTGGTGACCCTGTAAGATGGCACGACCGCCTGGGCTTATGGGTGTAGCAGCACAGGAGGGTGATGTGTAGATTGTATCATCGTCTTTCATTATCTGGCTTTCTAACCCCCAAAGGGGCATTGGCGCTCAGTCAGTTCACTCTAAGCCATTCTATCTTTCGCTGTTGCATTTACCTCTCCCCATGTCCTTCCCGTATGTTTAACTTCACTCTCTGGCTCCTTTCCCCGTGTTTTTTTTTTTTTTTTTGAGGGGGGGGGGGGGGGGGTAGGGGATCTTTCTTTTTGTTTCTATGTCCCTGTGGGTTCCAGAGCAAAGACATTCTAGTTGTATTGTTTTCAGATTTTTCCAACTTGTGTCCTATCCAACGCCGGCGTCTTTTCTTCATCTCTTGATCAACTGGACTTGTTTAGTTCTCTCCCAAAGCTCCACATTTAAGATTATATCATACCATTTAATTTCATATTTGTTTGCACAGGTACCATATAATGAATTTTCACTGTTTATTAGTAATTGCCTTTTTTGTTCTCCGTGTTTCTGCTCCATACAGCAGTGCCTATCTTTATGACATTTCCATTTTTTGTGTGGTGTGTGTGTGGCTGTTGTTTTTACGAGTCCAACCCTACCCTTAGTCGCCTCTTACGACATGCCTGGTAGGGTGCAGTGTTACTATTCTGTGCTTCCCGTGAGGGCCCCGTTGACACATGGGCGAGCCTGAGTCATACTGAATAAATAGTTTCATTTGTTACAGTGGGCCGGGGATTGTTAAGGCGCACAACATGCACTACAGCCATTAACACATAATCGGGAGATAGTGCCTCCACTTATTAATTTTTGTACCTAATTAACTGTGAGATGTGAGATTAAAACTCGGTTTGTTGGAATTGGATATAGCTGCCTACACTATGCGAGCCTGCACTTCAAGTCACAATGGCTGACTGCCAGTCAATTTCGAGGTACATCTCTTGGGATTCAGCCAAGCCTCCTGGTTAACCTGTTGACATTAGTTGGTAGGAAGTGAACTGGATTCTTCAGCAAATTTTGGCGGACTGGGCCCTGTTATCTTGTTTGTACGGCCCAGCTGGACGTCTCCAGAAATGTACACTGAACGCAGAGCAAACGTCTGCTGAGAGGGGTTGTTGCTGATAGAGAGCTATAATCGCTAGAACAGAAGACTGTCAAAGCGTTAAGCAGAACGATGTTTGATGTGTGTATAGTGCGTTCCAAAATTATGCCCTTATAAATACATAGGAGCTGCTGTTTTTATAAAGAGGCGAATATCGCTAATCTTTTTTTTTTTTTTTTACTAATAATTTATGTTCCTCTAAAAATATAATGGACAGTAATT